CTAAAACCCTAAACCCTAAACCCTAAACCCTAAACCCTAAACCCTAGACCCTAAACCCTAAACCCTACACCCTACACCCTAAACCCTAAACCCTAAACCCTAAACCCTAAACCCTAAACGCTGAACCCTAAACCCTAAACCCTAAACCCTAACCCCTAAACCCCTAAACCTAAACCGCGAACCCTAATACCTTGTTCCTAAACCCTAACCCCTAAACCCCAAACCCTAAACCCTAAAACCCTAAACCCTAAAACCCTAAACCCTAAAACCCTAAACCCTAAAACCCAAAAGCCTAAAACCCAAACCCTAAAACACAAAAACCCAAAAACCCTAAAACCTTAAACCCTAAACCCTAAACGCTAAAACCCTAAACCCTAAACCCTAACCCCCAAAACCCTAAAGCCCTAAACCCAAAACCCTAACCCCTAAACCCTAAACCCTAAACCCCTAAACCCTAAACCCTAAAACCCTTAACCCTTAACCTAAAACCCAAAACCCAAAACCCCAAAACCCTTAACCCTAAACCCTTAACCCTAAAACCCTAAAACCCTAAACCCTTAACCCTTAACCCTAAACCCAAAACCCAAAACCCAAAAACTCTAAACTCTAAATCCTAAACCCTAAACCCTTAAACCCTTAAACCCTTAAACCCTAACCCCTAGCCCCTAAACCCCTACAACAGAAAATTTGTAAACTGTAAGTATAATTGAAAGTGAAAATTTCAGGTGAACTTCCAAATTTTCCTGCTACTAGGCGGGTTTCAGTTTTACCTAACATTACCGTCACTTGTTGGACACCGTAGAAAAATCATTCCTGAGCTAAAGTCGGGCCCTGTCGGGAGTGAACATTTTCGTTTTTAGTAGTCTTTTGTTTTTTTTTTGAATAGTGTTTTTTCTTTTCCAAAGGGGTTTATCTGGCGGAAGACGTTTCCCGCCTAGCCATGTGACCCCTTTTCTTTTTTGCTTTGGGTTGATCTTTGGGAATACAGTTCCTGCCTCACGACATCAATCCGTTTATGCTGGGCGGGAAAATGGACTGTCGGGGAATCAGGGCCTGGCGGAAACTTGAAGAACGGCTAGAAACTGCCATTCACGGCTTGCCAGTACTAGTTCCCGCCAAGTGCACAAACGGTCCCAGCCCTTTGGGCTCCCGACACTCTGAGTGGGGCCATATACGGGAAGGAATAAAGCTACAGTGTGAGCCCATCGCTCTGCACTGGCAGAATGTGGCCAGATACAGACCAAAATAAATTGCGTAGGAGGTCATGGTAGTGTCAATTCACGTTCACGGCGCGCAGTCAGAGGTACTACTACGACGGCGCGCAGTGGGAGGTAGTGTCAGTTCACGTCCAGCAAGCGTCAGTTCACGTTCAGCAAGCGTTCAGTGCGCCATAGAGTCCGTTGTACTTCAAGTTGTCATCACCATTGTTGAGTGCGCCGTATTGTCCGTTGCCTTCTCAATGTCCTGTTGTGGTTATCTTGCCAGATCGTGTCTGTGGAGCACATACTTTGTGTCGTGCATGTGGATTTTTCTTGGCGTGAAGTGCAGACGTTCCCAGCATTCGGAGTGAAACTTGCCACCTTTGGAAGGTCGCCGTGAGAGGTAAGTCTCCTCACCTCCTCCACTCATTTTCTCGAACGCTTGGGCGGCTCAGATCAGTCCTCTTAGCTTCATGACGTGATCCGACTGCATGACCCGGCGGCGCGTGTGTGTGTGTG